ACAATAAAACAGTTTTTAATAAAGTAAGAATTTACATTCTATGAATTTTTTAAAATCTTTTTAATTGAATGTAAATGCAAAATATTTTAGTTGAATTTGTTACTTTTTATAAACAGCATTTCTCAAAAACATAATCATTATAATTTTAAAAAGATACACAACTCGGTCATAATAATGATAACTTTATCATATTTTATAGAATAATATAAATATATTTCTAAGGTTTTTGAATGTATTTATATAAAAAACTAATTAATACATGTCTAAATTTACTATTTTAGCAATTTATTTTAAAATTAAATAGAAAAGTAAAGAATGGCCTAAATAAAATGAATATTTCAAAAATTTTGAATTTCTAAACAATAAAAACTGTGTAGATGTGTATTTTATTTAAATTCTATCAAATCAAAAGTATCAAAATAAACAGTAAAGTAATATTAAAAAATGTGACGTAAAAGATTAAATCTTTAAAAAACATATAACAAACAAAAAATAAATGTCTATTCACACCTAAGTAACTCTTGTTAATTTTTACATTTTTAAATTAATAAATAAAAATATATTATTTAAAATTAAAAATATTTTTTCATGATAAATATCTTATTAATAAAAATTTTTGTCAATTAAAAAGATCATTAGTGTATGAGAAAATTTTCTTTAATAATCATATAAAGAAGTAGTTTGATTATACTTAAACACTAATTTTTAAAATATATTATTCAAAAAAACAAATAAAGTAAAAATAATTTTCTATCTTTATTATTGAATAAACTACAAATAATATTATGAATAATTATAAGATGGTAATAGAGTATTTTTTGATGGTTATTACTTTTTTAAATTTTTTCCTTTGATATTAAACCTGTTAGTATGAATATCATTTTAAAATGTATATAAAAGTAAAACTAAATTTATAATATTAGAATTATTTTTTTACATAAAAACTTCTAATTTATCATATTAAATATTATGCTTTAAATAATTTGAATCTTTTAAAAAAATTTTATAAACTATCATATGATATATTCACTTTCAAATATTTAAAAAGTGATAATAAAATTTTTACTTGAAAAGAAATATATAATGATTTAATAAGATATTTTATAATATATCTTTTAAAAATTACTCCTATATATACCATTTAATTCTTTTTAAAATTTAAAAAATTTTACAAAAAACTAGATTTTGTCGTAAAATTTATAAAAAGATTTCAGTGTTAATTTTAAAACATTTATATCAAAGTTTTCTTTATGAAAAGTTTTTAATCGAAACAATAAATAATTATTATTATAAATCGAATTAATTTTTTATAAAGTTATACCCACACTCTGTTTTAACTTGTCATATTTTTCGTATTTTTTAAATATAAAATTTTTAAAGAAAATCGAAACTGTAACTTTTTAAATAATAATAACTATATAAATTTAATATTAAATTATATTTACTATTTTTTGTATTAAATAATCTAATTTTTGTTTTACTTTAAGGCTAGTTAACAAATTCAATAAACACAATCATTGATGTTAATTTTTTAATTTTTTATTGTTAAAATCATATTTATTAAATAAAATAACAAAAAAAGAAATATAATTTATATAAAATTCTTTAAAAGAAGTAATTTTTTATTTTTTATGAGATTTTCATGTCAAAAAAATAAAGCATTTTGTTAAATTTGTAAAAAAAACAATGAAAAGAAAAGTGGTATTTTATAAACATGTATGTATATAATTTATATTTTATTACACTTTAATAGATTTTTTCAATCATGAAACGTGTTCTATT